TGTACGCTTCATGTACTCGCGCAGGTTCTTTTCAAACGCCAGCCATGACTCGTGCTCTGCGTCAATAGGGGGGACATGAACCATGTGATCGTCATCGAGGTCCGACAAGGGCCGCTTCTGCCCTCGGTGCGTAGAGGCTTCTTCTTCTTCACCACCATCTTCGCTAGCAGACTCGTCACTATTATCCGCTATAGCGGCCCCCTTCTCCTCCGCACTCTCTTCATCCGAATCCCCACTCATCCTGCCACGAGCATGCTCACACTTCACACGACTGCCCCCCTCGCCGTCCCCCCTCCTTCTGCATGTTCCCGCTCTTCTTTATGATGTTCACTAGCGCTTTCACGCGTGCGGTCTTCACATACTCGGGCAATAACCCTAGCTTTTTCCGAGCGTGTACGAGTCGCGACGACCCTCTGCATGCGCTCGCCTTCGTCGCTAATTGTCTCTCCACCGTCGTATGCCTTCTCTGTCATCGGCTCGGCAACCTCCACAGTGCTCGCAGTCGACTCCATGCCCAGTTGCTCGACGGAGATGCGCACTATGTAGCCCACGTGGGCGCTTTCAATGGACGGCTGTGGGCCGACAAAAAACGAAATTAGCTTCGCTTTTTAAATTCGGTAATATACGTAGAAATTTATACCTGATTAAAACCTGGACGTATACCTGGGAGATGCCTGTTGAATATCCCTGGACGGGAGCGATGCTCAACCATCAAACAAAGGGGAGCGATAAAACTATTCAATCAGCATAACGGCGTTCATTGCCAGCGCCACCCGACGTACTGTTCTGGCAACAGTGTCGTACCCATTAAGACAACCGTGCACATGTTGTCTAGAAAATAAACTTTGCCAAAGAACCTCGCAATGCTTAACTTCTGCGTAAACTGCTGGGCTGTAGGTACAGTAGTCCGAAAAACATATCCCCGACGGTAACTGATCAGCCAAGGAGATACGAATTGCGCGAGGATCTCAAGAACGAGGCGGATGGCTTCAATGTTGCGCTCGGTACGGAATGACAATAATTGACGAATCCAGGAGAGCAATAGATAAGTCAATATCTTTTCGATCGCTTGTTGTTTGTCTCTTGCGGAAAATAGTTTCTGTGTATTCGTTCATTCACGGTAAGGCAACAGCAGTTATTACTCGCCCTATTAGAGGTCAACAGCGGGACCTGGGCACTCCCTCAAACAGACCTTGTCGGTCTCGAAAGCTTTCACCGCAAGCAGCTCAGGCAACTCATCGGTGTCCG